AAAGCTGGTAAATAATCGACAGCTAACACAATGAGTTTGACAGAGTACATTTATGGGATTTTGCAATTAGCAGATTAGTATGTATATCATTTTTATGCATCGGACCGTTTGCTCCATTAGGATTGTTCAATATTATTTCCCAAGAGTGTGTGTATATATAGAAAATTTTGTTTATTAATATATAAAAATATAAAGATGCGCTTTTCAAGTCCGCACTCTCAGTACGATTAATCAGTCTATAATAATCGTTACTTTCTCTTCTTTCGCCACAATAATTTTTAGCGAGTATACGATATTATATATACATACAAAAGACTTGATATACAATCTTGAAATTTTATGCTCGCGTTAACTTTCCTACGTTTCGGGCATTGTGAATTATAAATGAGCATGATGTACACGTATATGCGTATACATGTATATATATGTGCAATTCTCGAATCACACGATCGAGGTACATATTTTTGGAGGTCTCTTCGCACAAAGCTACCATTTACCACAATAGTCTACTGAACCACAACCAATGCAAGCAAGAATACATTTGGAATGTACCTGAATCTTTATCAACATCTTCGTGAAGAAAAGACTCGTTGTCTTTTCCTTCGGGACCTTTCCGCACCGCTGTAGTCAGCGCGCCGGAATCAGTCTCGTGGTCCCCTACCTCCTGCGTACTGTTCTCCAACGGCGGAATACTAGGCGTAGGTGTGCTAACATACGTCTGAAAAAGAAATGTTCCACGTCAATTAATTATCATTTATATCTTTAAAGGTCTTCAGTCTTCAATTTCCCTTTTTCGTCGCACCTGTTGCGCTTGTAACCTTAGGCGAGTTTCTTCCTGTGCATCCTTTTTCGTAGTAAGAACCTTGTCTCGAATCGAGGTCCGACGTACGCTTTGCGTCCGCGTGTTTATGCTTTGCGACCTGCGCACCCTACGTCCTTGCGCCTCACGAAGTCGTTTACTCTCCTGTTCTGTCTTCAGTTCCACTATCCTCTCCCTAATTTCCGGATCTTCGCATATATCTGCAACATATTAAGATATTAAGACACAGCCAAGTAGTACGGCAATAATCGAAATGGATTGGCAGATCTTACCCGCGGGAGTTTCATCGTGCTTATTTTTTGCATTTAGGTCCGCTCCGTTTTGTACCAATAATTCCAGTACTTCTAACTGTAATAGAAAATTGTATATAAGAATGACATTTAAAATATTGCAAAATTGTTATCTAAAAAAATGGAAATGTAAATGTACTTTCTTATCTTAATAAATCTATTTAGAATTTGTTGTTTACAGGAACAGTGGTGTAGAGAAGAAGAGAGGATTGAAACTCACATGTCCCCAACACGCGGCTGCATGAACCGGCTGCCACTTGTCATTGTCCTCCACATCCGTTGATACATGTTGGTCAAGAAGGAACTCGACAACTCGTAAGTACCCATTTGCCGCTGCTATATGAAGCTGTAATGAAAATATGTAACTTAATTGTCCATTCGCGTTAGCAGATCTGTACGAAGGTGTATACGTACAGGCGTAGCACCTTGATGATCTTTGTATTCAAGGTCGCCCCCTAAAGAAGCAATCTTTTGCAAGTCGCGCAACATTTGAACCTCGGTCGAAGCTCTCGTTTCGTCTATTAATTCTTGAGTAACTCCTCGCCTCGCCATCTCCCCTGCGTTATAATTTTTTAAGTTTGAGCACATCATACTAGTCTGGAAGTGGCAATTTTGAAATGTTAACAAGCTACTGTAGCTCGACAAGTTGCATTACCTTCGATACAATCCAACGTTTTTTCGTCCTCGCAAATGTCGTACGGCATGTTGCCGTCGGCATTAACAGCTAATAAATTCGCACCTCTGGCAATGAGGTATTTGACTAAATGCAAGTGGCCACACGTGGCAGCGGCGTGTAGCGGCGTCCACTTCTCGCTGTCCTCCGCGTTCACGTTAGCACCAAATTCAATGAGTAGCTTCATCATCTCCTCATTGTCGTCTATGCAACACTGATGCAGCGCTGTCAAACCGTCTTCGTTCGTCGAGTCGGGATTTACACCCTTCTTCAAAAGCCTCCTCACTGAAAGCAGATAAATGCCGATGACGTACAGAGATGTGCGTGTGCGTTCCAAGTAACATATGCACAAAATGTCTTACCCTCATCAATGTCATTTCTCGCAGCAGCCTCCAGCAGCATAACGCTGTCGCTAAAGTATATATGACGCTTATTACTCGGGTGCCTAGTCTGGTGCCGCAGCCATTCCTTCTCGCGTTGCCTCCACACTTTTAATTGCTGAAGCCTACGATGGCGCGCCAGGTGTAACCGCTCCTGCGTGGTCAGTCTTTCAACGTGCACCATCTCCGCCACTAACTCGGAGTGTTCCATTGTTATGTGCTTGTAGTTCTTGCAGGTGTATTTACCTGTTTACAAATGAGAAAGAGGGGACCGTCACGTAAACATTTCTACAGACGCGCACACGCATTTTTATACAACAAGACAAGAAAATGCTCCAGAACAAACGCACGTGTGATAAATGCTCGTGGATCACGTGCGACTTTGTTAACGATAGCGCACATTTGTCCCGGTTTCCACTAAACGTACTTGGGACGGCAAAGTTGAAGAAGCCGAAGAAAAAAGGCAAGAACGGAAAGGGGAAAATCCGGAAAGGCTTTACCTTTAGGCTTACAGAGCCAAGATCGCGTTCTCAGATAATTAAAATTTTTTCGATAAACACCGGACGTCATTCTGGCGTAATCGGGATTTTCACTGATTCCAGTAACGCGACTTAACCGGTTTCCTCCTGGGGAATGTTATCTGGCGAGAATGGTGGCATATTTGAACCAGGTGCTCCCTCAAACTTATCAAGTACTTAGGTAAGCAAACATACGATATTTGCACAAATGTTCCCGCCCGCTGGCAAAAAAGGAGCGTTTTGTGAATGGTGAGGGCGTTTGACGCGCCTCGAAAAAGCGCGTGTCTCTAAAAATACTCGCCGCACGAAAACAAGATTTTGGGAATTCTTTCGAGTGACACCGCGCTTGATGAAACAACAACGTACCCGAATACAAATTGCTCAAGCTGCTGAGCGCGTTCACCTCGATTGGAGAGATACGGTGTAATGAAAATCTTTGCTAGGTATATAGACTATGCCCGCGACACACATCCGCAATAAATTCTATCCTTAATCTCGGGTAATACGTTGCGTCACTGGATCAAGAGCGTACATATTGAAACGTTGCACAACTCCTCGGTGCACTCGGGGCGAGTTTTACATCTCGGGGGACGGTTTACGCGAGGAGGGAAAACGGGTCTCGCGGCGAACGCGTCACGCCTGTCTCCCCGTGGGAGAAAGCACGGACTGGCGATAAGCAAACGGCGAGAGTAAACCAAGTGATGCCGGATATGAATTTTTAGGGGAACAGCTGAGCCAGACGGAGCACCCGGGTTGGACCGTTTCCCGACGACCTGGCGCCACGCGAGAGGTGCGCGTGAGAGACGCATGGGAGATACCTGCTGATCGAGCCTGACGTCCGGCCGGGCGTTACTTGGCGCACAATCACCGTGGAAAGAGGTGCTCGGAAACGGGGCGCGTGATCCCGCGGCTGTCGGAGGCAGGTCGGGCTTCACTTCCTGCCAATTACATCGCTCGGCTTTCGGAGGGTAATCGGAGCCGTGGCGCGATCAAGGCCAGGACGCGCGGCGGTGGCGGCGGCGGCGGCGGCGCGTATCGCGCAGGATCTCACGGGAACGTGAGAAAGGCGCGGGGGAGGGGGTGGGATCAGCGCGATTGAGCGATGCGCCGAAAATCGAAAAGGCGATCCTCCCTCTCTCTCTCTTTTCTCTCTTTTTCGCCTAGTTTTTTACTCACGTATGCAAACGCGCGGCTCGACACGCGGGGCCGCGGCGGTCCGCTTTCCTTCTCCCCCTATTTCCAGCGCGCGATCGCGATCGCGATCGCGCCAGCGGAATGTGACGAGCGGCGAGGACGAGGAGCTCGGTCGGAGGAGCGCGGCGGGGCCCGATTCATTCACGCTTCGCGCCTACCGCGGGCGGCGTCGTGCTCCACGGCATAATCCGCGAGGCGGACACTGGTGCGGTGGGTGGCCGGTGGCGAAAATACGCTCGCGCGCAGCGTTCCCCGTGCCCTGCCAGCGCGTGCAGCCGCGGCAACGTCTACCTGTCGGTCGCCATTTTTAAACTACCTAGCGAGAGATCGCGCCCGCGCCCGCGCCTCACTTCACCTCGTCCGGCCGCGCGCTCGGCCAGTCTCGCCTGGCCTCGTCGCGCGCGCCGCCGCCGTCGCCGTCGCCGCCGCAGCCGCCGCGACGCAGGATCGAGCGACCGGACTCGCTTCAGCTCGCTCGAATCGCAACGAACGGTAATCGGCGATCGGCTCGATACTCGCGCGCGAGCGTGGCACTTCCGCCTCGCCCGCGGAATAACGTTATTGCGTAACCGTTCGGCGTTCCGCGCCAGTCGGTCGATAAGCGGCGAGTTTCCTCGCGTCGCACGGAATTCACGCTCCGGACGAGGGCCGATCGACGGAGCGTGAATCGGCCCGCGCTCCGTCGCACACCAAATCGCCTTGAATCCTCACGGCTCTCCAAGTCGGTTTGTCACCCGCGAGCCGGGCCGTACTGCACTCTTTAATCGCGTACGACTAAACGCTTATTAATTACGCGGTATTATCGCTGTCACGCGCGCATGACGTATCGACGTCGCGAGAAACGTACTGTCATGCAACGCACGTGACAGCGCGCGGCGCCGATAACGTCCCACTTTTCTTTTCCCCGCAGCTGCGCCCCCATAAAATATATATCGAGCTCAAATCGAAGACCCGCGGCCCGCTGTAAGTGCTTCAGAGCGTTCTTTTTCTCTCTCTAGAAGCAAGGAGCAACAAAAGTTCCCGGGACTGCACCACGATAAATTATTAAGCTCGGAGTCCGGCAACTTCCGTTACACGCCGCGTTTCTCATCACGTGCGCGCACGAGTGTAAACCGTTTCTCGTACCCTTCGTCGAGCGGAGTACGTTGCTTTGAAAATCGCCGAAGCGGAATGCCTAAGAATCGACGTGACCAGCGCTAGCCAATAATCGCTTCCCGATTGAGGTTCCGGAGCCTATCGCGGGTCTCCCCTTCCGTAAATCGCGATCGATTCGTGCGTCATCGACGCGCCGGGACGCGCGCGCCGACGACTCGTCCGCTGTCATTCGCGGCCGCGCCGTCGTGTGATCGCGCTCGATAACCGGCCCGCATCGAGGAATCGCTCTCCTCGTCCTCGGACAACCAGCGAGTCTTGTCGCCCGCGACGACGCGGGATCTCGACGACGTCGACGACACCCGGACGCGCGTCCACGTGCATTGTCTACCGATATGGAAGGACGCGGCGGTGGCGCCGGCGGCGGGGCGTATCTCGCGGTCGCCGCTGGAATTTTTGCGACCGCCGGCAGTCTTCTGGGCAAGCTCGCCGGTGGCGCTGACGCGTCGTCGTTGGTGAGTTGGCGGCCGATTCGAAAGTGTCCGTTCCACCAAGTTCTTTCAGCTCGAGAAAGATGAAAAGTTGGCTTAACCGGGGGGTCAATCGGCACCGGTGGAAATGGGCAAAATGGACTGCGGATTTCCATTTCTAAATTTAATTTCTAGGCCAGAATACTTGATGCTTAAAAGGGATTTGAGATGTTTACAGAGGAAAGCCTATAATCGAGACAGGGCTTCTAATACGAGATAGCAGGTTTTCAACACCCATATTCAACCGCAAATCTTTCGTGACAATGATTACACGATCTAATGAATTGCCCACTACATAGATTCCCTTTCAAGAAGAATAAATACACGATGGAGCCAACGGATGATGCCTATTAATTTAGCAAAAACCCTGCTATCTCATATCAGGAGCCTATCTCACAGTAGAGGACTTGCCTCTAATACAACGGGCAACGTAAACGCACTTTCTGGGCAAGAAAAATGGGAATGTGCCCCGGTGAAATTGTCTTGTCTTGTATCGGTGACATTTGCTACCGCAGACAAATGCGCGTCTTCAAAACTGTTAAACACGCGAGAGAGACGTCTCAAAGATCAAAGATTGAAAACGTAGAAATAGATTAAACGTTAGATCCGTGAGATCAGTAATAAATGCTGTAAAAATGTAGAGCACCAAGATGTTTACATGTTTTTTTTTTCTCGGTAGCCGTCGTTGCTGCTAAAAGGAACGCTTCTCGTCTTTATGATCGTGTGCAACACCGTGGGATGCACGTTTTTTGTCAAAGCGCTCCGTGCCAGCGGCTCTTCTTTGCCGATAACGGTCGCCAGTGCAGCAACGAACTATGTTTGTTCGGTGAGTTGTTATAATTAATCTCGTAAATAATATTTTTACTTAGCCAACGCGGTTTAATATAAACTTCCCTCCCGCCATTTTAATCGCGACGGTATTAATAACTGTACTGAAACAATCGGAAACTCCTCAGGAACTGATTAAGCTTCGGGGGAGGACCTGAAATAAATAATATCACACCCCCCCAGTTGGATAGAGTCTTAAGGAAATTTTCGAAACAACTTCTACTCATGATTTATAATGATTACAAGTTAGAAGGTTGCGATGTTAATGATGGCTCCTCGCCAAGGAAACGTTGATTTGGAATTTAAGAATTGAGAAACCTGTAGAGGAAAGTCTTCTAATACGCGATAGGTCTTCAACGTCCAAATTCAATGACAAATCTTTTTCGCAACGATCACACGATCCGACAATGAACTTTCCACCGAACAAGATTTCACTCCAAGGGCAATAAATTCACGGTGGAACCAGCAGATGACGTCTATTGATTTAGCAGCAGCTCCGCTGTCTCACGATAGGGGACTTTCCTCTTATAAAATTTTCTCCGGGAAATTTCTAATAAATATAATTATTTTTCAATTAAAAATTTCAAGGGAGTTCCGCGTCAACGTCAGTTTGATGTGCAAAGACGCGCAATAAAGTTGAAAATTAGAGAGAGTAAATAAATGACGGCTGTTCCTCAAGGAAAAGTTCGTTCGCCCTGAAATTGGAGAATCTGTCATTGAAACTACGATCGTGACGGCACGGCCATCCGTCGTGCTTATCGCGGGAAGAAATTGGTTCCGCCGTGAAACATCGGGGCGAGTATTTCTTTTCGAGAGAAAGCCTTGGGCAGCGATAACGGGGCGAAGGGAATAATGATCTGCAGATGGGCATTTGTCGGCGGCAATTATCTGCCTATGGCCGGCGGCCCGATACACACACTTCCGAGAGTCGGTTCGCAAAGAGTGAAAGTTGTTTCGCAAACTAGACGCAATTCCGCGAGTGTGCACAATGCGGTCATAGCAATTATATGCGCGCAGCTACGTGGCGATTGAACGAGAACTCTACGATATGATACACGCTATTGAAACGCAATCTCGGCAGCGTTACATTATACGCTGGGAAATGTATATTACGTCGGAATTATTGTTAGAATAATAGAAACAATTGCGTTCGCCGTCTCGCGAAACGGATTCCATTCTCTCGCCTTCCACATTTCTCCTCCCGCCAAGATTATTCATCCCACGAGTCCCGTGAAATATTAGTTAAGCTCTGTCTCGTTAGTCAGTTAAATAGAATCGGAGACGCGGGAATAGCTTTTTTTTACACGCTTTACAACACAACTTTTCTACAATCCTCCGTGAAAAGTAGATTCAATCCGTTCGCGCGACAACTAACCGCTAAAACAATACCGTATATCGATTACGTCGGCGTGAAATTAAACATTTACGAGATTAAGTTTGGGTTTGCGAGGATATAGACGCTTCAAACTTAAGAGTGTCACCGATTGATAATCCTCGAGGAATAAAAGTTATATCCGTAGCTGTATATGGCTCGTCCTATATATTACCCTTATGTCAAACACGTGGCCCGCCGATCACATTGATCTCCAATATTTTGCCTTTCTTTCATAAGCAAGTTTGACGTACGAAAATAACCGAAGACTTCATTTCCACAGGATTCATCCACTCGATGCAGCAGCAAAGCGAGAAAAGAGCTCGATCAAAAGATTTAAAGCTAATGAGAAACACATAAATTTTTATGACGTCCTACACGTGTCTTTCATAGACATAGCAAGTATATTTAAAAAGAATGCTGTTGAATTAAGCAAGATGAAGTCGTTTTTCATCGATTAATACTGGTGCTGTTTCAATGATTTCATTTCAATTGCACCGATCTTGGTGATACAGCATCGTCATTCTTTTCTCCGTGCATATTTATTGCGTTTCTGCTCTTACAGTAAAAGATGAAGTTTAAATGTATTGGTTCACCGATAGCGCAGGTTTCATTATCGAGCAGCATATGTTACAAATCTCGCACTATTGTGAAACATCAATTTTAAAAATATCTCTCGTTCTTGTTGAAGGCTTTCGTAGGCTTCATCGTGTTCGACGAATCCATTTCATTGACCTGGTGGTGCGGAACTTCCCTGGTACTCCTCGGCTTGATGTTGATCTGCAATGTTCCCGCTGAAAAGAAGGCTTCCGCCGTCGAGGAAAAATTGAAACATCAATAGCTGACGACGGGCGCTTTTATATTGCGAGCACGAGCGATTATGGCGATGTTACAGCAGCGCGATTACTTCCATTTTTGTATTGACATCGACAGATATGTGTATCCGCGTGTCGGAACTGCATTGTGCTATTTGTAACAGATAACACGAACGCATTTCGATGTGTACAAAGTATTAATTGAGTAGAAATAGTACGGACTTAAGTGTTATAATTACGTACGAGCCATAATTATATTCCATATTTCTATTTTTGTTATAACGATTTTCTACGTAAATGATGGATATAATTTCGTAGCGCGTCGACGTAATTGCTCGGACACGAGATGACGTATAAAATGCGCGTATACACGATATCATATTATTAGATTGATTACTGAACGCAGCAGTGCGAAATTTACTTAATATAGAGGGATAAAAATAATCCGTCGGGTTTACAGAGAAATGTTTTTTAAGATTATTTCGTTGAAAAAGAATTGCTCAGCCCCGAAGAATCTCGACCGAGTGAGAAGTCTCGAGAGTGAAAAGCGAAATGGATTGTGTGTTGTTCTGTACAGTAATATGAGAAAAATATTTTATAGGGTTTCTTAAAGTATCGCCTCTCGCTTTTAAATCAAATATTTTTACGTTTCTGGTATGCGCGGACTGGATAGATTTCACATCGGGTTTTTAAGTGAGACCCGAAAAATCCACGTCTCTCGAGTGATGCCTGTTTTAGCGCAGCTAAGTGGATATTCGTGTCTGTGTAGTAGCGTCGGACGAGCGAAATGACGATGACGAAGAGTACACGACGGGGATATTTCTTCGGTCCCACCCTTAAAATACACCAACGCGATACCGAGTAACCCGTATCTCACCTGCGTCTATTAACGAGGCGGAATTAGCGCGGCGAGCGAATTATACATCGTTATTATTACGTTACGCCCGTGGTGACGGTCTCGGCGTCGATGTAACGCATAATGAAGTCGGATGTATTTACGTCCCGGGACGTAAATATATCTACCATGCAAATGAATATGCAGCGTCTGATAGCGGGTTATAACGGACGACGGACGAATCGATCCCTGTTGACGTTAATTCGCCCGCAGGTATCGGAGATAGTTATCAGAATGATATGAAACGCGCGAGCGAATTTCGACGCGAAATTGAGAGCCGCCGGGCTCTTTTTCACGTGCGGTCCGGTCCCCGCTGTCGCGAATTCCAACATTCTCTTCGAGATCACGTTGCGACGCGTTAACGAGATAATATTCGTGTTCATCAATCAGCGAGCGTAGGGTAAATATTGAGTAGCGGAAACCGAATATTTTTCGCGTCGAAATAAGAGCACGTTGTAGCTGTAATTATACTAGAAATACGAGGAAATTTTGTACAAGGGGGTGGAAACATTTGTCGCTTTCGCTCGCTCTCGATGCCATCCCCTTCACCCTTTCGAGGTGTATCGCGATAGCGGGAAGAGCGTGCCTCGGCGGGACGCGAGAGCCCATTGAGGATCGCGTCGTATCCTACACACAGCGGCGCTCGGCCAGCTACGACGCAAGCGTAGCCCAGTAGCCCGTGTGCGAGACCTACTACACTAGATTTCTCGTTTGTAGGGCAGGGTCGAGGGGCGAGGGGAAAACGGAGGGAGGAATTAGGGGGTGAGAACGGCCTTTATCGAGCGGCTTCTGCGCGAGCTCGCCCCGACGCGACGTTCTCGACGTTTTCACCCTCAGGGGCGGATTACCCCCTCCGTCGCCGACACGTCTCCGGTAACGTCGCCGTACGTGTGGCTGCTGTCTCACGGCTTACGAGACATCGCGAGGGGATTGTCAACCCTTGTTCCATCCAGTCGAGGAATTCGCTAATCTCCTCTGCAGCAAAGGAGCTCTACTTTAAGGCTCGCGCGGATGTTCTCTTTTATTTCTTAATTGCGGATTTCCTACCCGCAAAGTCGCAATACCGCGATTCGATCGTCCGTGCCAGCCTAGTTAGTCTAGTTGGATCGAGTTACGGATTACGATATCCTGACAAATTGGAGAAAATTGACGTACGCCCGTACACGGCGTCAGAATCTCGCGGGGACAGAGGTGGAGTCTCTTTCTCCGTCTCGAGCGAGGATCCGAGCCGTCTGAATTCGGTCCTGCCGATCCCCACCGCGTTTCGCGCCTTCTACCCCTTCCCGTCCCGTCGCGACAAATCTGTTACGAGATTTCCACCTTCATCCTCGCCCACCTCATGGCAATGAATTTGAACGGGACGCAGATTCCCGCGGACGGGGTGAGAACGACGACGTTGGGCATTCGCGCGGCGTCTGCGTCGGCTCCTACGGCGAGAGAAAGAGCCTCGGAAAGGGGCAGAAAGAGAGCGCGACATGATCCACCCTGTCCCTTGTCGCGGCCGCGGCTCCAGACGCTCGTATCTCCGGTTCCGTGTCCAGCGCGGCGGGCGAGACTAGTTTTCCTCGCGGGAGGACGACCTCGCGCGCGAATGTCCCCTCCGACGGCGTCTCGCCCCGTCGGGCACGTCAGGCTGGTCCGGCCTGTCAGACTGAACGTCGTCCACCGCGACAATCGATCGCAATAGTGCTTCGAGAGCTCAAGGTGCGCGTCCTCCGAGGTGCGCGGCCAAACGCGACCCTCGCGGCTCGTCGCGGTCCCCGTGTCATCCGTCATCCGTCATCCCCAGGTGGTGCGCCTCAGGTGTCAGGTGCGGAATTCAGCCACAGGACCGTGTCGAAACTGGCGAAACGCGCATCCTCGGGGCAGGCTGTTGGCGCGCGGTGATAGGATCTACCCCACTATCCTGCACGTTGCCCTAGCACGCGAGCCGCCGCTGTCCCGCCACCCTCCCCTATATTCCTCCTCCTCGTCGTCGTCGCAGTCCAGTTTCCCCCACTTTGTGTGCACCCCGCCTTTTTTTCTCTCTCTTTCTCTCTTCTTCTGCCGAAGCTTTTCTCACCCTCCGCTACTCTCGCCACCGGGAAAGTCATCTACGTCCGCTCCTCGCGCGCCGAGAGCGGGGCAGTTTTCGTACGACGCGCCCTTCCGTCGAGTCTGTGTGAGAGAGAGAGAGAGAGTGAGAGAGAGGGAGAGAGGGGGGAGGGATAAGAAAGAGAGAGAGAGATAGGAACGCACACAATTGCGGTGCAATCTGCTGCAACGGTGTGTGACAGACGAGGCTGCAAGTGTAACCGAAGGATGGAATTAAAGAGGCGCGATCCGGCGCGATCGGCCGCCTTGGGGATTTCTCCTCGCGGAAGCAGTTGAGCGAAGTGCAATTTCTCGTCCATTCCGGCTGCTCTCGGGGAAAAAGAATGAGATAGAAAGAGGGAGAGACAAGATAGCGTCCCGCGAGTGCAACGAGCTAATCCGCGATAACGGAGAGCAATCTCTCCCAAAGGGATTCCTCCCCGACGTCCTCCTTGCGATATCAGTGTGGAACGTGAATTGTGCAGGTGCGTTCTCGGAATCGAATCGCTCTTTTTTTTTTATCCTTTCTCTTCTCGGAGCTTTGTCTGCTCTTCAACGTCGAGTCGCATGCGTTTCTTAACAAAGTGTTGGTCGCGTGCGCGACGGAGCCGTCCATCAATCTTTATAGCTATCTTTTCTCGTAAACATAAGTGCTCCGATATCTTTTATCCTCGCGGTTAGCATTCGTCAAGACTCGCCACGTCCCTGCGCGCCCGCACAGAGATATCATCCGTATGCGAGTTTACTGCATCGTTTGTAACATATACGTGCAGCTTTTAGATTAATTATATTTAATGAAATCGCGATACGCGCACGCGACATCGTCAAAGCGAGATCGAGGATCGAGATCAAAGGGAATCCGCCGGCTGACGTATCTAGATATAACTGCACAGGTGAAAGGATTTTACGCGATATACGCGCGTCTCTCTGACACGCTCGATTTTTAATGAATTAATTTTATGCGATTGATTTGCACGAGGGAAAAAAGTTTACCGTAAAAACGTTCCGAGCGACAGCATCCGATTCGTCGGGCACAATTGGTTTTCGTTGGATTTACCGGCCGCACGTATCGGCGCATGCAGTTTTATTTTAAGAGTAGGTCAACATCGCGGGACGCGCTGCGTTTTAGCATGCAATCGCATTTGAATCTGAATGGCAAATTGATAACTTTTATACGGTAGCAAAATAGCGGCATCCCAGTTTGCGAATACCCACAAATCCGGCCGATATCGAATATCCTGATGGAAGATTATTCATGTCCATGCCAGTGATTGTAATACCGATATATTTCGCTCCCCCCGAAGTGGCGATGCCTCTCACTAAAATAAATTACCTTTCATATAGATAAAACGTTAGATTAAGCTAATTAGAGAATTTTATAGCCTTTCGCCGATTGTAACTGCAATAAATCAAATATGCATTTTTGCTTTATTGTATTCATTTTTGTATTACGGAAACCTCTTTACACGTACTTTACATATGTCTACGTGTACGTGTTGCACAGATCGCCGATATAACGCCGATATCATCGATTAAAGATTAAATCGCGCGGATAAATAATGAAAAATTATTATTTTATTCCGGTATTGCAATCACTAATTTATTGTTTCTCGTCGCGATCGAGTGTTGATCCGTTAATGCTTTACTCTCGAGGCAAAAGTTTTATCGCGAGTAAAATAATTCTCGGAAATATTGAAAATATAATTAAATAATCCTTTAAGCTTCCCAGTGTTCAATTTCCAAATATTGTATCGCCAGCTGTTTAATAATAGCGGTATTAATTGGAGAGTTTTAAAAAAAAAGAAAGGGGAAAGCGTGCCCCGCGACATTTACAATTTGCCGTATTATTTAAAGGTCGTTAGTTTTCAGCACGAACAAGCGTTTCCGACGTTGGGTTCTCCCTTTCTCAAATCTTTCCCGAAATCGCATTTGGCAGAATCTTTTAATTCAATGTTCACGCCGATCCTTCCACGTGACTCTTCAACTAACTGTAAGACTGTTTACCTCCTCGTGCGACTCGAATAGCTAAAAACTCATAACTTGTACTAACTGGCGACGTGGCATCACGTTACGAGGTCGTCGTCGAGGGGTCCGAGTGAGTTGAGCGGTTACAAAATTAATATAACTTTCAGCCGCGTCTATAGAGTTTCAACTTCTTTCTTGGCGGTCGACCAAATTAATATACGCTCCAACTGAGAAGGCGAAAATTCCACGGACGCCGTCGTACCGCAGCTGCATCGATACTCGATTGCGTTTCATCGAGAGTAAACATTTGCGGGGTGAACGAGGTGCTTACGTCTCGGCGCGTTTCGCGCATATCCGATATATCTCGCTCCGGCGAGCGAAATCGGAGCGCATGCTGCATCGCGAAACGCGTTTTGCCGTTATGCAGCAAAATACATCGCGTCAGCATCGGGCCAATATATTGAGCTGGAATTTACATAAACGCATGCAGCCCGGCGCTTCTGCCATATCCGAGTGTGTACAAGGAAAACACGTCTATTCCTATGCGTCAGTTTGGCAGCGCTATTTTTCTGCCGGGAAATATCGCGACTCGCGCCGTCGCCGTGCCGGTGAACGGGATTTTCTCCATACGATCGATCGCGCTTCCTAAGGGTCTATCCAGACAAGCTTGCATAGCGCATAAACGTATGCGCGAGGAATCTGATTTGGCCACAAGTGCATGCATGAGGAAATAAGCCGATCAATTTTTTTATGCTTATGCAACTTTGTCTGACTAGACTCTAGGTCCCAGTCTACAATACGACGATTTAAGCCCTAAGCCTTCAGAAATCGAGCAATCACGGTCAAGTATGAGTAGAATACGCGACCGTGATTAGTTCAACAGTCAATTTCTTAAGGCTTAGGGTTTAAATCTCTATTGTAGATGGGCACTGAAGCCCGTGTCGGACTATGAATTGAGATTAGATTGAGATTTGACTAACTATGTGACTTTTACTAGTCACTAAACTTCAGATTTGTAAACTTTACTCTCTGATTAGTCAGATTTCAATCTAATCTCAATCCGGGCCATCGCACACAAAATTGCTTAACCGCGTATGCACAACGTAAGACCGTCTAGAGCAATGAGCGTGTTATGTACATGTCAATATGGCGATTCAATGCTCGATGCTCATTCGTTCAAATCTAATCTCAATCTCAATCCGTAGTCTGATACGTGCTTTATGCAATGTTTCACCTTGCATCATAGGAGAAATTTGAGGGCAGGTTGAATGTAGGCGCATTGAACACCGTTAAATGCACCCGGTTGTGCTACTGTGGCAAAGTGGGTTAACGTACTGCCAGTCCTTGTAATCCATCTTATTGATCTTAAAGTAATCGATAAGCTCGCGTTCTTTAAACCCCCCCGTCCTTGTCCGTTTTCTGAAACAATGCCAACCGGTTGACTTTTCCAATAGCAGAGATTTCGTTGCCATTCGTAACGGTCCCCCGCGGATGCCCGCTGTTTCCGTTGCGCGAGACAATGCGGCGGCTGGCGACGCACGCAATTTGAAAGCGCGCACGTCGTCCACTCGCGAAGTAGAAAAATCCTTCAGTCCGCGGCTCGAGCGTTTTTAAGGCCGACTACCGAGATCACGCGACACACACGCCGGCGACGACAATTTATCAATAACTTGTCCCACTTTCTTGAAAGAACAAGCGCACGTTTCCTTCTCGGGGCGAGGCAATCGTGCCCGGCACGTATCGCTAATCGATACCCAAGACAAATTTCTTGCGGCGTTATTTTTGCTACGCCCCAGCCAGTTTATCTCGTCTCTCAACCGATATTTTCTTTCCTTTTGCAGGACGTGACGAGCGCAGCAGGTAAATTCCTGAAAGACGGCACCAGTTTTTCGCACCGCCGAGGCTGTTGTGCGCATCGGAAAGTCGATCGGTTCCGGCCGGCGCGCCGAAGGTCCGCTTGAAACACGGCTCCTTTCCGTTTCCCGCGGCAGCCCGAGGCCAGGCGAGAGAATCCGTATGTAAATGGAATTCCTCCCCGTTGGGACGACGGCCATACGGGAGCTCTTCGATAAAGAGGCCGCGAAAAGCAAGTCGTGAATATAAATGCGCAGCTCGCGCTTTGAGAATCAGAAACGCGCCGGATGTCCCATGATGTTCTCTGAAACGCAGCCTCGCGTCGCACCGAGGGAGACGCAGCTGTCTCGCGTTATCGAGAGGCACCGATTGCAACGGCGATAAGCGAGACGGGGGCTCTTCGAGCGCGGAAGAACGTTCTGAATGGCGTCATGCGTGATAACGTTATCGCGAGCTGGAGTAAATCACTGATTAGCGGCGCGTTAGAGTGATCAATTTTCGAGGGCGACAGGCGAAAGGACAGGGACAAGGCTCGAATGTCGAAGGAAACGGCCGACGGTACGAGCGAATACGCGCCGGCTCGCCGGAGCCACGACCTGGACGTCGACGCGATGCTGCTTGACGAACGATACCGCCTCCTTGCCGACGAGGATCGAATCGGCTCGTCGAGAAATAAGCTCAAGAGACTGAGGATGACGGCGGCTCAACGGAAACCCGCGCACCACACGCGCTTTTAAACGGCGATACTGAGGAACGCGCGCTCGTCACCGCGCCGGCATCATGGGGAATGGCATGAACAAGGTGAGAGATTGTTTGGTTAACAAGTTTGTATGCCTTCAGATCGATTTATCAAACGTTCAGCTGAAAGAGAAGCGGAAGCGAATGCATTTTTCATACCGACAGAAAGTTGGGTCAAGTCGGAGGGACAGTTTCTGGAAGGGACGTCTCGTTCTTTGCGAAACGAGTATATATAAAAAATTCACCGCTTTGGGCGTTTTTCGGTCGCCACGAATCCCACGGAGTCAAACGGTTGATATTTAATTTGCACTTGGCGACCTTTAGCGGCTCTTGCACAATTTATTCAATAATATTCTATTCTCTGTTTCGTTTTATTACCCATTGATTATCCGAGACCCTTCGAGTTTTTAAGTATTCCATTTGCTTCTGTCTTCTCGTCATTTTTAACCTATTGATAGATAGCAACTAATTGGCTACTCTATACGGGCAATTTAACGATGCCAAGCGTCTAAAGAAACTTGTCTTAGAAGTCTAACGATGTCTTTGCAGAACAAAGTAAGTAAGAAAGAGGCGGAAACGTCGATTCGACTAGTTTGTTATCGAAACGATTCCGCTTAAAATCGTATAAAATCATCTCTCCCTTCATAAAGAACCAGCTGTATTTGTCGCTCTGGATTGTGAATGCTATTAAATAATGGCAAGCGGATCGTTGTTAAACGCGTCTGTTTCCTCTCGTCGCAACGGGGTGAGATTTCCTTTTTACAGCGTGACTACAAGTTCCATTCTGGCCGAAGGATTGACTTCACGCCTTTATGACTCGACAACTTGTTTAAACGCATTTCAATATAACGACTTACCTAGCGCTGTCGTAATCTCGCGCTTAACGGCCGACATAATACGCTTGATAATAATAAAATTTTACGCCCGGTAACGCGCGATCGTACAGCTCGTAATTGCGGAACGGAAGTGTAGGAGATAAACTTGACAGAGAAATGTTGCGAAATGAAACTCCATTTACGCTAATCCCCCTTCGACGGTGATTTATATAAAATGCGGTGCATTTTACGGCGAGGACTGTTAAATAAATAATCATTCGGTAGTTTTACACGCGTGTTCTCGTAGCCTCCAATACGCGTTTTCTCCCTCGGCAGGAAACCGATTTGTAATTTTACTCACCTACTACTTTAATGCATATTATATGTATACATGTACAAAGCATATGGCTCGATAATCTGGGTAAAATGTAAAAATTACATTGTTTAAAATCCATTTTGCCATTAAAAATACGTTAACTATACACAAAATTTATTTCAAATTATTTTGAGATCCGCATTTATTTTGAGTTAATATTCCCAGAGTATTAGTGTCATCATTTAACATATCCATATTACGTTAAATTAACAGAAAGATTTGTGTGGACCGTTTGGGACACGTGATATCTGTTCAATTTAACACAAATTTTTCAACGGTGTATTAGAAGCCTACCTGACTTTCCTCCACTATCTATAATCGTCTCAATGAGACTCAAGGCATTTGTTTTCTACTACAAAACGCAACTATTTAAAAAGGAATTTATATCCACGTGACTTTGTCTCTTTGAATTGAAAATTAAGTATAAATTACTATTTGGTATTTTTCATTGTATGTGATAGCAATATTGTATATCACGCTCATATCGAAGCATATAAGCCGCACATCGTCACGTTGCGGTTCATCCTACTCCACGATCGCACGAGGATCCACGTTCTCCGACGTACTCGATCGCTCCTGTGTTCGCGAAGCTCTCATATTCCCGAGATCATCTGGGAGAAATTCCTGCCCGAGTACGTCAATAACGTTCATCTTTCTCTTCCTTTTCCTCTTACAATTCTTCGTCGCGCACCTGATCTTCCCGCATCGTTTGCGGGAGGAATTCCACACGCGGTAGGTCTGGCCGGTTGAGTCGACGGTTTCCTTCGTAGCTTCCGTGATCGTCATTTCGGTGTCCGTTGGCGGGATGACGTCGGTGGCCGCGAAGGCAACATCCATGAAATGCCGCGACTCCGTTGATCTCAACGTAGGGTGCGGATGTCCACTCGCGTGTTCCGTAGTGATAAATTGCTTCTTCAGGATAAGCGATCCGATCAGTTCTTTGCGTACCACGTCCCTGGGCAACGACGATTCCGCCCTTTTTGGACCGTCCCGTTTCCCGCAGCCGCATTTCTTCCTTCGCTTCTCGCGCCTCGCGGAGGATCCGACGATCCTCTCGCGATCGGCCGTCTTCAGCTCGACCGATTTTCGATGCCCGGTTCCCTCAACCCCGGTCGGCTTCACGCCCACGGCGTGTCTCGATGGGAAACCAGGTCGGGACACCGGAAGTAACGGGGCGGGTGACGGCAAGTTCGGGATGTTTCTCGGAGAATGCGTGAGGAGGGTTGCGACGTCAACGGATGGATGATGGGTGGATCGCGATGTCGCGTCGAGCGATCGATGCTCCGATGCTATCTGCACGCTGCCGTGAATCGCGCAAACACACCAGGAGACGACAAGCGATCGGAATCGCATTTTCGTCTCTTTTTCTTTACGCTTTGACTTTCCTTCCCTTCCTCCCTCCGTTTGCGATCGACTGATCACGAGAGACGGTAGCCGGTTCGGCAGGTCGCTCACGGTGGTCTCGTCGATCCGGTCGTTCCGTCTCGTCTAAAATCAACGCGTGGAGAAGCGGAGGAGGGCACGGGCTCGGTGGCTGCAGCACGGGGGACGAGGAGAGGGTAATCACCGTGCGATAAGAGCAGTTCGAATGAAATTAAATCGCTAGGGGAACCGAGACTAACGGTCTGCGTCGCGAGAGAATGGGTATTTTCGAGGCTAGGCTAGGTGGGCCGATTGCGGCGAGAAAATAAATATCGCATACGCGAACGGTCCAGGAGATTACTGCAGTAAATTGCATCTCTGAACATCTTAATTTGCCTATCACCCATCGCGTTAACCCGATCCTTCGAACTCGACGAGGGCGGATCGGTCGCGCCATCATCGATGAGAAACCGAATATCAATATCGGTCGGAGAATCGTGGAACGGGAAAATGGCGCGGGTGTCGTTTAAGCTAATGTATGCCTCCCCATCTATAGCTAAGCGCCACCTTTCATCAAAATTCAATATTTGCCAAACAGTAAGTTAATCTAAGATTACCGCGCCGTCGACGGCCATCACGAATCCATCACGCAGCTTTGCGCATTTCTCCCTCGGCGTGACCTGGATTTCTTCGTCTAATCGTGAGTAATCTCACGTCAAACAGACGCCGAAAGAGGCTCGACATTTTAACTCGGAGTCACCGAGGAGGGAAGGAAGGCGATAAAAATATCATGACTTACTTAGGGACGCTTCATGAATGGAACCCTTGACTATCTAATGTCAGACATCGAGTATTAATTAAGGCTCGCAGTGAAACGCGTGTCATCTCCGTAATTTCCCCGCGTTATTGTTCGTAGGTGCTTCCCGGTCTTTACGTCGGTAATTATCAGGACAGCAAGGACCCTGATCAGCTGGAGCGTTTCGAAATCACGCATATTCTGGCTATTCACGACACGGCCCGCCGTTTGCATTCCGTGAGTACAAACGAAGCTCTTCGTCAGCGTAGCATAAAGGGTGGAATGAAGCATGTATCAATTTCAGAATCAATAGTTACAGTCGAGGGGTAAACCGCGGTGTGGTGTACAGATTTGCGGCATTACTGGGCATTACAAAGATAAAATAATGAGATAAAGCAGGATGGCGAGTGTGGCGCGGAGAAATATGCTCTGCTCAGAATGAACGAAAAGGTCTAAGTTCAACTCCACGAATACCGCTGGTTTTTTCGGAATCTCTCGAGGGGAAGTGACAACCACCGAGAGTATCCTGCCACACATTTAGAGGTAGAGCCCTCCAGATTGGAGGTTTCCTTCGGCAAGGTTAGCAGCCTACCGAAGATGAAGGTAAAACCAAATGCTGAAAATATCAGAACGAATTGGATAAAACAGGCTTTAAGCCTAATACACGAGGATGAAGAAGAAGAAGATGAAGCAATGCCCACTGGGCATTAGTAGGCATTGGTGTACATGATTTTGGCCAGTGGTTTGCCCCTCGGTTGTAGTTGAACAATTAACGGGAGGGTTCGGATTGGAAAAAAACATTTGTACTTTCTACAAAATTAATATTCGACTTGCTAAATCTCGACTGCGTTTCAGGATAAGCATTATCTATGCATCTTGGCCGCCGACAGTCCCGATCAGAATTTATCGCAGTACTTTTCTCTGTGCAACGACTTCATTCACGCCGCCCGTCTTCGCGGCGGAAACGTTTTGATCCACTGGTAGATATGTATTCATCGCTACATCACACGTGTGGAACGTCGAAATTGCTGGATGTCCTGTCCGCGGTAGAATTTTTTGTCGGGAGAGACCGGTGAATTGGTCCAAGAGACTGTGATGTGAAAGAAGAACGTCCAGCGATTTCGACACACACTCGACACTTTACGAAGTTTGCAATTGATAAAAGTATAAGGTAAATCTGACTTTTTGCGAATAATTTTGTCTTTAGTCTGGCAGGAATGTCGAGGAGCGTGACAGTAGCGGTGGCCTACATCATGAGCACCACTAATCTGTCCTGGAAGGAGGCGCTCAAAGTCGTTAGAGTCGGTCGTTCCATTGCAAATCCGAACGTCGGTTTTCAACAGCAGCTCAAGGACTTTGAGTCCAGCCGTTTACAAGAAGTAAGTAACAAACGAGCGGAATGTTTCTTCTAATTTGCAATTTTACGAAACAATCTTCCTGCGTCAGAATTTCCTATTCTATCGCAGAAATCTTCGCGTCATACATATTAGATGTCATTTTATATCGTCAAATTAGATCTCTACTGTATTATATCTCGTTGTAGGAACGTAACAGATTGAAAGAGCGATTCCCCAGCCTCGCTCTCACCGAGTCTGACGCCGAGGTTTGCAGCTCTACTCTGAGGAATTACGAAACACTGGCCCTAGCGAGAGAGGTGTGCGAGGGTAAATGCGCCATGGGACGCACTTGTCCGACCGGGCTTTGCCGTCAGGCAACCTCTAAGAGGTGATTACATTGAAATTCTTGGTCATAAAGCCATGCACACATCTATTATTCCATCCAAGTGTAATAAGGTGAAAGAACTTTGTCTAGAAAAAAATTATATATGCATTAGAAAATGAAATGAAACGGAGATGACGGATGACGTAGGGTAAAATAAACAATGTACGTACGAATTTGCAGGACTCTGAGAAGAAAGTCATCCAGCAGCAGTATCGGAAGCGGGTCCGGCAGAACACCTCCGCAAACACCCCGGATGCTACCATCTGCGCCACCCTCGCCAGCTTTGCACAGATCGTCCAGCGTTGTGTCCACATCGAGACCGAGGAGTGGGCCGGCAGGATTACATTCTTACACCGGAGGATCCGCTCCGCCGTCTAGGTAAGAGTAAATCTTCCCCGAAGATCCCGTCTTCGTTTTTTCCTATCTCTCTGAAACTATTTCATTGAAACGTTACAACTTGGTACTTAAATTGTCGCGTTTATAAAAATAAGATTCGCTGAAGTAAGGAAAATAAGTGGTTTTATCATCGGACATTGCTTAGAGGCTGCAAATTTTTCGAGAAGTGAAAATTTTCTGAAAGTTATTAAAGTGACTAACGTTAATCTCACAGGGCTGTGTCGAGGGTGGACCTTTCGGCGGCAGTGGCTTGCAGCAGCAGCAACACCAGTCTCTCCGCCGTGGGCAGGTCGAGCGCATTCTCCAGTAGCAATTGGCGATTGACAGCTGGTTCCGCGCCAAACACGCCGAGACCGACGCCGCCGGTCTCGCCGCAACGCTGGCCGAGACGGCTCTCGAATAGACAAACGCCGCAACTGCCGGTACCACCGGAATCCCATCCTTCGACAATGACGTAGCATCGAGACTCGCGCGGTTCTCTGTCGAGCCTGATGGAATAACGAACCGAAGGAGATCAGCGAACCGCTCGAGAATCTTACCACCAACATTATACGCTCTTCACTGTCGGCAGATTAGATTATCAATTTGCTATCATTTTTCGGCATTGGATGCTCGTTCGGATGACTCGCGGGAAGGAATTTCCGGTAAAAGAGAAAGGAAAGGTATTTATGAATTATATAAAGACGTGCCTGCGAATGTTTCTTTACATTTGGGACATTCGGGATATTTAGTAGAACGCATAAGAGATAAATAACGATCTAATGTGATCCTGCAAGATGATATGTATCGGATCGAGTCGAACTCGTCGGACCGACGAGGGAAACGTTGATACATCGAATGCGCGTAAGTAACGCATTGTTGGAAATTGTTGGTGATATTGACTTATACAAGTTGTTACAAGTTGTTGCTTATACTAAGCGAGAAAGTGCTTTTACCGCGAATGGGATGGGAAAACGATAGGATTCTTACGTGTCGGAAACACTTTGCGTTTTAATTTCGCGCCCCACGATTAGATGATCTTCGTCCTAATTAGATTCTCTCACGGAGAAATAACGGCGTCGACGGATACTGACAATCTGTCATTTAAATATATCACGAGGTTGAATTAGTACTCTCGCGCAACGGATCGATGTGTGAGGTGAGGTAGTAAATTGGAAAGATTGACACATTCGGGACATGGTATTAATCCTTTGGGGCTTTATCGGTTACAACGATAATTGCGTGCAATTAAGTGCGACCGGTTATTTCGCGCTTTTTACAGCGCCGTTCAATCGCACTAATAATGCCCTCGTTAACGATCCCCGCGTGCAATTGTTCCCTCGGAGATAATGCGCGAATCGTTACCAATTAATCATTGGTTGTGAAAAAGAATATTGCTCAAAGCGGCAATTATGCAATACATACAACAGCGTTCCCAAAGGATTAATTTAGAAAAGGAAAATACATAGAATCGAGCGCTCAAATGTAGCTTGATAGTTTTGAAATTGATCGCGCAAAGTGGTGAGGCGTCGAAGAATATTTTCCGATAGAATTTACGCGCGCGCGCGTGTGTGTGTGTGTGTGTACGTATGCGCGTGCGTATGCGTGTGTAAGAATGCAGGCGAGTCGTGACGTGTTGAAAGAATGAGAATATGCAGAATATCGATTTGCTTCCGGATCCACGCGCGGTTCAAAACTCATCCTATGAAGGACCGAACGGTTTTGCGCGACCACGCTCGTAGGAAATGAGGGATCTTCGTTCCGCAAACCTGTTCCATTGATTTCGTTCGCAACCGTCCATGTGATTGTTGGCTTTCTAGCGAGATCGCACTGTTTTATCACAAGTTGTTGAAGAGAAAAAATATATACACACACACACATACATATACATACACGCATGTTGGAAACATACACGTACATTGTTGCGCGAAGGGCTTTCAGAGAATTTTATAAGCGCGCCGGTGATCGCAATTATATTATTATATACGAGTCGCGTAGTAGGCATTAGGCAAAACTGTTGTTGTTGTCTCGCCAGCACGAGCACCAGTCGTTTACGAATATGTCGAGATTTAAGATAACGTCGCTTCGATCCCCCTCAGTGTTACTAGTGTGCACGATAAAGCAACGTAGATCGTTTTTCAATCGTTGCCACGCACACGTTTCGCGTACACGTGGGAAGCTATGCGTCGCGACGGGATTATTCGATGTGCGAGCAATCGTCAGACCAGCCGATCATATCAAACGCGCCATTATTCGCGTACATTTTCTAAAGAAACACTCGTGCTATTCGCGAACCAAGCTGAATCCATAAATATTCTGTAGAAGCTCTACAGACATTCCTACGGAGGGCTAACAAATTCGTAAGATATTTTTTTAATTGAAAGATATAAAAATTAACTTTACTACACTATAGGTATATTAAAGAAGAAAGAGTAATTAGACGCGCAAATTATTGTTTAATGCTAGGAGCAAACTTTATAGATCACTAGACTACGTCAAATACAAATTTGATTTAATTAGATGAAGATGGGTTTGCAGTTGTATCTATACGAAATAACTGGCGAGAAAGCAATATTTTACAAAGTAATATTGTAATGTGTATATAGAGTGTCCTATTATCACCGTAAAATGATTTAATCGCGTATATTCCGGAGAATAGAAAATCTTAGTATTAAAATGTCAAGGTCGCAATAATTTTCGAGTTATAAGCCAGGTTGACTAATGGTACCGTGCAACGTTCGCACGCTTGACTGCAGACTGTATTGATCTGTCATCTATTACTCATTTTCACGTGATATTAATTTTTACTGCTCAGCTGATTCTACCTTTAATTTCTCATGTATGTATAAATGTTATACCTGTATGAGACACTTACATTTTGCAAGGAATTAAATGTTTACTATTTATTTTATTTAAATATATTGGAACGGAGAATAATTTTGTTTATGACGCTCGATATTGCGTGCCGTCGCGTTACTTCTCGAAATACGAAATCGCGACGATTGCCGGAAGGCGTCAGCTACGCGACTTGTTTTCTATAAATGATACAAAGTCGCGATTAACTTCTGCACGATTACCGATCCATAAGCGACAGCTATCTATTGAAGCGAATACATATTTATCTGTTCAGCGATTTATACATTTATAGTAGAAATCGAGGCGATAAAGAATCGAACTCATAAATTGTCTCGGTGTTTACGGGCAATAATTATTTCACTAATAACGCATTGATTCGAATACATCGAGCGGTGAATTCGCCGATTTGGATCTAATTTAACTATTATTTTTGTATTGAGAACGCGAATCGCCAGATTATTACATCCCTGGTACACAATACAACGGTATACAAATCGCCGATTCGAGTAATTCAACAGAAAGCCGCGATGTATCGACCATCATTAATAATACGTGTGCTTTGCGAATTGCGCGTGCAGAATTTTGATTGTTTATTATCCAACGTGATTGGTACATTTATTTATCATTCAAAATATTAATTGCCCTACAACGCGCGCATAGACTATGCGTTGTTCAAAGTACGAAAGTGTAACTAAAAGCGATATCTTTAGTACTGCAGCGGGTCCTTTCCTCGCATTGTTCTTTCGCCGGGATGTAATAAAATACACGTCGCTTACGGTTAATGTTAGAACTGCCGTCTTAAGTGCCGTACGGTCGTTATATTCCGGTGATTAGTCGCGCGCGCGATTGTAATTAACCGTATCTTCGTGAGTTAAAGTTGTGTGAGTGTCGACGAAGAAGCGACAACGAAGAAATAAGAGAAAGGGAGAAGGCCTTGCAGGCATCGAGCGGCGGTTAAACATCTGACGGGTGAGTTTTATTTGCGGAATTAATCAATTATTTCCATTTGTTTGCCTTGTTTATTTCAATCTATATATAGGAATTAGAAGGGAGACTCTTATTTATAAAACATAAAGCCTTACGCTTGGGAAAACATTTTCGACAGTTGTCTAATTATTAAAGATCCAATTGAAAAAGTTATAATAAGCGAAGTGTGTATAATAATTATTTTTCGAAATTCGCGTTACTTTAGACGCCGCTGTAATTTGAAGTTTATATGTCTATTTTGCAGATCAATTTATTGTTATTACGCCGCTTGTGCATTGTATATCGGTAAGTCTCAAATTACTTTTTATTTTAATCTGGTAATGGATCCGTGAATATTTCGAACAGACACAACAGATTTATTGTTTTGCAATGGATCGGCTAGGGCAGATTAATACACACAAATATTTAATTGTGGCAAATGTGTAACGGTCCATCGATCTATTATGCATTCAAGAATGCATACATACAAAACTCATAGGACCTATTGTTGTTGACGTATTATTGACTGCTTCGGTCATTTACTGGCTCATTTCGGTGTCATACTACATAGCAGAATATTAATTACTAAGTAACATGTAAACCACTTGCAACTTTTAGGAAATTTTATATTCGTGTAAATAAAAAAAGAGATTGGAAACATTACGGTTAATAAACGTTTTACAGAACAAGAGTTTGATCAAAAAAATGACAAATAATGCTGTAGTTACTTTTCAGAACATCGAAAATAATTCTCGTATAAATATAATTAAATTTTCCAAGTTTTCGAGTTTAATGATAAACAAGAGTCTCTTTTGAAACGTAAGGACAAAAGGTAGGTAAAATTATTATAAATGAAATATTGATTAAAAGTGTTTGGAATATAAAACTAATTTTCTTTCTTTCTTGTAGTGTTGTTTCGTGGATAATCAGGATGGAACAAAATTTCTTTTTAATTATATATGTGTGTACGTGTATGTATACATTATGTACAATTATTTCTGTAATTACAAATATTGTGTTATATATAAATGCATACACGCGTGTGTATAATAGAAATAAATTTATGTACGGCTATAAAGAAAAAGTCATTAATATTTATCTGGGTTAATGTATTTTCTCTTGTTTTCCCTTCCCACAATATCTTTAAAATATAATTTGAGGTGTGCATTTGATTTCCCTATTTTATTCGGAGTTAAATATAAATAATATATAGTAGTATTGTTATATAAGTTTATGAAAGAAGGAAATGCTCGAAAATGTTTTAATGTATGACAAAAGAATAGCAAGTATGTTATAATCAAATGACAGATTTTAATTAATTTATTTAAAGAAACGGCGTTAATAGTTATTAATTGTACATGTTCTTACAATACGCCAATTTGATCTTAATCTTTCAATAGTCTGCTCATCCATATTGATATATTGACGTTATATTGAAATAAAACAGAAAGACGTGAAATCCAATAATTATTTCGTCGCGGAATAAAACTTTTTATGCAGATCATTTCGAAATTACTCGGTTACTTGTCGATATAAAATGCATTATTTTTAAGTTATTTCTAATGTAACAGATGTTAAATAATTCTACTAACATTTTGATAATGTATCAAGAAGAAACATTTATTAATATTTAATAAGTTGTCTATTTTAAAAGTTAAAAACAATTTTTTTTAATATAACTTTTGTAAAAGTATTAAAATCAATATTTAAATGGGCAATGCAATATCAACATTGTATTAGCACAAAAATTTCATTTGGAAAACTATTGGAAATATTGATACGTCGTATCAAATAAATGGAAAACGATGGACGTGACAAGAGTGATTGGTTCTCAAACATACAAGCTTTATGCAAGTACGATTTTTATATCTTGGATAAAAATCATACTTGATATTATCTTCGAAAAGAAAAACGATTTAAGAATAGATTTTATGTGCGACCAGTTGGATTTATTGTAGATTACGTTATCTAATTAAATCGCTATGTATTTATCAATGCTGAGTGGTAAAAATCAACCGAACAACAGACGACTGATTAATATCAATGCGATTCTGACATTTTAGGACTTTTTTACTCTAATTTCCACAAAAAACGCGCTGTTAAAATATTATATGATAAACATAGTGAAAAATGGGACACTCTGTATATATTACGGACAAAGTAATTAGAAGTAAAAGTGATCGCACAGTACCTCGAGTTAAGATCCTCTCATATCTAACAATAAAATGAACGTTAAATAATTTCTGCATCCACATACAAGACAAATAATTAAATGCAACTCCGTTTGTGAGTCAGAGGACAAAGGGCAGAGAATATGCTTTAATCGTCCTGCGTAAACCGTTGAAAAAACAAAAATTGGCATAACGTGAACATTATTACGTGCTTCTCCGTGAACGCAGAATCGGGTACGAGTTTTCGTTTTACGAGAAAATGGTATGCCATGGAAAATGGGGTAATTCCGAGTTTAATGTCGCAACGGTGTTTGCCGTTGAGATCGCATCCGCGAAACAGCTGCGCCACGTGTCTGGGCTTTAGTGTCAAGCCTATCTCCGACGTGAGATATCGACGGAACGGCCGTAAACTCACCCGTATTGTCGCGTTCGTTTAATATTTCCTCGTAAAAACGCGCGTAATTAGCCCGCAATCAGGTCGCTGCATCTTAGCGCTGAATCAGCGCCGATCGGGCGCGAGTGAGGGCGATCGAGGATGCGTTCGTACATATCATCCGCATTTAAATCCACGTACCTACACACATACATATATATATATATATATATATATATATGCGTGCACACGCGCACACACGCACGCACGCACACACACACACATATATATTTTTTAAGGTCGCGATATACGCGAGATCGATGTATTCAGAGCAGAGAACTGACGGATCAGCCGTAAAGAATTTAAATCTATGCATTTAGCGTGCGTCCCGGTTTCACGGAGCGAACAGGCGACTCTTCCCGATTCAACAGAGGAAATTTATTTTTCACCGGGATTTTCATTTTCCTCCGGTCCTCCCCCCCCCCCTTCGTCCTTTCCCCGTTGCTCTTGTTAGTCGTACAAAGTGGTCCAAGAGTGGAATCGAGAATACAAATCTGTGATCGCTATATTTTTGGAAGAACTACGAGGATATTCGCTCAGTGTGACTCGGACCCGCGCACTTTCTATAGGCGACGTATGTAGATGGTTCTACTTTTTTACAGCGTCAATGTTAACGATCACACGTAGGTAGATAGGTAGGTAGGTAGGTAGGTACGTAGGTAGGTAGGTAGAGACGCCCTGAGAGCATTGAAAGTGGTATCGATGCCGAGGGAGCCAAGTATCGGTAGCTTATCGATTTGAAGCATCGCTAAAACGGTAGCTAAGTCCCCGACGTGTAACGCGCAGTCGAGGCCGATAAGCGAGCGCGAAAAACGCGGTGAAGAGAATCGCTGGACGATGCGACGCAACGGCGATGACCGAGGACTTTGCGCGGATAAAGTTCCACCTTTTTGTCGTTTCGTTAGAGATCGGGCAAACGCGATATATTGTTAAGAGAGATCGTTCGTCAAACAGCGATCTCTTCGCTCCCCCATATCGATGCGACGACAGGCGGTTTTTATCACCTTGTTTTATTCCAGCTAAACGTGCGCGAAGATATCGGCAAATCTTTGCGGGAAAGATTCCCAGGCACTTTGAGTATCTCGAATCTCTCGGCGCGGAGCGCACGGTGTAGTTAACGTAGATTAAGCGTAAAAGTACCGGTTGAATTACTCAGGGGGGGGGCCCGGAATCGCAATCAGCACTTTTACCCACCTGGTCATTACCGTAGCGTCGCGTAGCGTCGCGCCGGCTCGGCGTTGCATGTGCAATCGTGATTTTCTAGCAATAAGCGGAGATTATCGACGCCCGCGAGCCGGCATAATCGCGCGAGGAGATCGCGGGACGCCGGTTATCGCTCGTAGATGTTAGCGAGCAAGCTTGATCGTTTACTACACCGCTACCACGTCAAGTGAATCGTGCGATTCGTCCGCGCGCTGTCGCGCCCGTACTTAGAGATTCATTAGCGGCTCGCGATATTTATTTTTCTAACGTCAGTGTCGATCGTCCACCTGATTAGGCGACCGCGACGAGGGGACCGCGGGGAGGTTCGTACCTTCGTCGTACGTGTCAGCGGCAAGTATGTACAATAAGTTGTTGCATCGCGAGATTACTGTTGCACCGGTAATGTTATTTTAAGGCCACCCATGTGATATTTTTGTAAGCTGCAAAAGAGAGAGAGAGAGAGAGAGTAAAAAAAACGTTTTTGGTTCTCACGCTGAAAGTGGTCGAGGAGTTATTTCGCCATCCCGGGCGAGCGAGAGCCCACCGTTTCTTCCCACCGACAGTCTCCCACCTCCGTCTTCCTTTCATTGTCATGATAACTATCCACGATAACTAGTGAAAGTTCTGTTAATTTAACTTTAATGAGTTTGCCCCGACTTGGGAGGCAATTTGATCAGCAGTTTCTGTGCTTCTCATCCATACCCAGCCTCCCGCTATCACCTTTTCTGTTTAAATATACGGGTCGAATGCAGATATAGGAAAGTCTGTGATTAATTAGCTCAATCTTCCTGGTCCCGGGCACCACAAATAACGCGGCACGGATTACCGTTAGCGTTGCAGTTAACCCTCGAGCTCTCCGGTATACGCTATCGGGGCGAGACTAAATTATGTTAATATCGATTGATACATTTGATTGATGGCCTGTTTATACAGGTATTACACGGGGTGTCCCGTGAGGAAACGTTGACGGCTCCGCAGGTGACGCGGTTCCCTCGACCTACGGAGCCTGGCGTCTGCCAATTAATCGAGACGTCGCGCGATCGCGTAAGAAACGAATTCCGGTTAACTGTTATAGTAAACGGCAATCACCGACGGTGGTGAGTAGCGAGCTGTAAATCCAGTCCTTATTCGCGGCAAACGCGATTGCTATCGCGATCCCGCCCTGCCTCGCTCGTTCGCGCGGCGCCTTAATTACTCCAAAAATATCGTATCGCCCCTGCAACACGCCCGAGGTAGATACCGCCGTTGGATTTTAACGCGCGATCGCTATCTCGCATTCCAAGGCAATCGGCGTACGTGTATACGCTCCTCACGCGACACCCTGTGGACGGCGACGTGAATTCGTGCCTATTGACGAGCCGCGTATCGGCTCGGCGCGCGAGACACGTAACAAGGTGAGAAAACGACAGCGAGGACGATCGATTTGCCTTGTTAATTATCGCATTGGAATAGCGACGCCGCATATCGGCACGTTCGTGTGCGCATGGGAGGGGCACCGCAGGCTACACACGCCACGGGCGCTTCGTATATTTGTAGTACAGAGTCGCACGACATTAATTATCCGATCTCGGCGACCGAGTAATTTGCCCGCGCGTGCCCCTCCCCCTGCCCTCTCGTCGAGTTTCCGTCTCTCTTTGCCCTTCCATCGAGCCACAATCAGATCTGGCGATAACCGGTAAGTGCGATACGATACACGAGGACCTTCGGGAATAATCTACACGCGATACAAAAGAGCTCCGGCGATTAACTGCAGCCTGCCACATAACAACGCCATTTGCATATCTGCGAAAAAATGGGAATGCTATTTGGAAAAAGTACATACGCATCCGGAGCCGACGTAGAACGCAATATAATACTTTAAACATCGTTTACGTACTATTGCTTATTTACCATCCCACGTTCGTTCATTCATTCATTCATTGTTGCGTCGATTCCCCCTTGAGCATATTCTCCCCGACAAGTTAATGTAATTTTCAGCTAACGACCTTCAAATGATCGTATTTGACGGCACGGCTGAATGAACGCTTTGCTCGGAGCTTCCTCCTCTTCGTGATCAACCATGCGTTCTAGATCGGAATCGCATTAGGCGATTGTGAAGGCCAGCCCGGAACGTGGATACCATTTCTGACCTTTCCACTTGGCGACTACGGGTGTTCCGGATCGTTATCGGACCATAACTC